AAAACTGATATCTCTAGAAATGAATAACTCCTGACTGTAACATTGTGTTAGCAACTCATCAATGGCTACAGGACAATGGATTCTGAATAAAAATAGTGAGCTCATTAGTTTTTTTGGTAACACTTTATTTGAAGGGGGGTGAATAAGACTGTCGTGACACTTTCATATACATGACATAACACATGTCAAGAACATGAATAAGTCTTCATGAATAATTATGACTGTTGTCATAAAGCGTCATTCGGTAAATTACTACACTTTTAATACAAAGTTGACATTATTGAAAATGTCTTTGTTACGACAACTTGACATTAACCAATAAATCATTACTGTTTAAACTTTACCTTTAATAACAAAGTTATCTAATTTTTAAAGTGAAATCAGTAATACTTTTATAACAAATTTATAACAGTAATGATTTCTTGGTTAATGTCAAGTTGTCATAACAAAGACATTTTGAATAATGTCAACTTTGTATTAAAAGTGTCATAATTTACCGAATGACGCTTTATGACAACAGTCATAAATATTCATGAAGGCTTATTCATGTTCATGACAGGTGTTATGACATGTTTATGACAGTGTCATGTCAGTCTTATTCACCCCCCTTCAAATAAAGTGTTACCGTTTTTTTTTACCCCCATCAAAAAGGGAGAGCGATTTATTAATGGTGAGTCCTAATTGGACAAAGAAAGTTGGCAGAAACTTTAATTTCCCTGCAAAGACCACTTGGATGACAGAGTTTAGCCTTCATGGCACGACATGACAAAGTGATTTATGAAGGTTGCACGTGATTTATCAGTGGTTTTATAAATTGCTGGTTTGCAGGACATCCCTCGGAGCTCTTCCTTCTGTTCTGCCCCTTTATATGACTGATCATCAATCCTGTCTGAGTTAAAACATGTGTTTGTTTTTCAGCAGGGACCCGATTTTGTTCGCTCTATTACCAAAGCTGGGCACTATTGCAGAAAAATGTCAAAGCATATGAGGGAGCTGTGGTTCGGACAGACAACAGCACAGCTTCATGAGTTTCTGGCTCGCACATCAATGCTCGATGGCTATGACCAAACTTTTTAAAGGGGCCGAGTTTATCATCACACTTAAAGCTCCACTGAAGCAAACTTAACCAGGAAAAGCCAAATAATTGTTGCCTCTGGCTTGAAACATGAAAGCTCAACTGTCTTAAATGTCAGCAACCTCTGAGTTCTTGTTTCACTTAAATAGCTAGAAAAACAATACTGACAATGTACAAACATCTGCTGTGTTAAGTGTTGCAATTGAACGTTGTAATTATCTTCAAAGGTTTAGATCATAATCTGTGTGCCAGAGAAAAAAAGGAAAGGGTAACTAATCAATTTAAGCTTGAAATCTTAAATTGATGTCAGGAAATCAATTTAAGACGAAATTGACCAGCAGTCTGGTTCATTAGTTCATGTTTGAAATTGTTTCCAGCACACAGTGACCAGAAGGAAAACAAAGCAAATAAGTGTTTTTAAGCAATTATTGTGGATTTACAAACTGCAAACTAAGCTGAATAGAGGTTCTATTGCAATGAGATACTGTCTGAACTCTGTTTGGATAAATATTGCAAAGTCCTCTTGGCCTCTGCTACACCCACCATGAGCCACTGAGAATTACAATTTTCAAACTCATCAGGTTTTTACAAGCAACAAAATAACATGTCTAATATATTGTGCTGTCTACAGCTGCTCTGCTGAGACAACAAGACAGTTTGAAAAAAAAAAATCTTTTAATTATCCCACAGTCCCACAGTTTGCATTCTGCAGAAATTAAAGACGTGTGAAGTCAGATCCGGAATCCAAGATCCTGGTCACGGCCCACAGCTCACAATAGACAGCCACAGTCTACATGACTGCCTACATTCCAGCTGAGAGAGATCACCTGCCTGAAGACTCAGCACCCAATTTATCACAAACTTATCTCTTGATCCAGATCTGGAAGGTTGGATGTCACGTTGAAATTTTTTCTGAAAGTTTTTTAGCCGTATTTACTGCTGCCTGGTGGCAGTGAACAGCTACAATTTTGGAAACTTCAAGCTCAACAATCTGATTGGCTGCTTGCCACAATTGTAGGTTTAGGAGTCCTTATTATTCTGCCTTTACGGCGTACCTGTTCTAGATTTTTCTGCACAATACGCTTAATCAAAACCAGAAAGAAGTAAGGTAATTCTAAAAACGATCCAGCAAAGTGCAAGTAATAAAGTGGCCACTTTTTAATATCATAACATTATTTTAGTTTTTAACTGAGGAACTACTCTGCTAAAACTGAAGTGTCATAAACAAGACTATATCATTACTAAAATCGTGTTTCTGAAAATAGAGAAAGAACAAAACGTGTAAGTACCTCTTTTCATATACTGCCCAGCTCGTCCTCGTCCCGCTGGAACCGTTTCCGTGTTTTCTCCTCTAAACTGTGGCATTGTGGACACTTTGTGGTCCTCTGACAGCAGAGTTACCATGTTTTCCACTTTCAACTGAACTGCTGTTGATGCTTGGCCTTCCTGGTCACCTCCAAAGCTGTTCAGGTTTCCTTCGCTAAACCAAGAGCCTGTGCACACTTCTTCTCTTTGGTCCATTGGTAATGTGTCCACGTGTTGCTCCTCCAACTGTGGCACTGTGGAAACCTTCCCACCATGATCCTCTGTAAAGGTCTTATTATCCCCTTCATTATTCTGAAGCACTGGATATGGTTGAGGCGCATGGCCTGTGGCAGAGATGTCAGCCTTTCGTATGCTAAACTGTGGCATTCTAAACATTCTTTCACTATAGTCTGCTGATGAAGTTTTATTTCCTTTCCTCAAGTGAAGCCTTGTGAATCCTTTTCCTCCATAGTTTTTGAAAAATGTCTCCATATTTGTTTCTTTAGGCTGTGAAACAGGCTGCGTGCTCGAGGACTTCAACGAGGACAGCACTTTGGCATCAGTAATGTAAGCAAGCCGTGCGATGGCATCATCTGCTCTTTCCTTTTCTTTCTTCAGTATTCTCACAAGGATACCTGCAGCAACTGGTTAAAGACTCAGCAAACGTGGCAAGGACAACATATTTAACTTAATAGCCAATGCATTATAATGAGAACAAAGAACAAAAATAAAAAGGTTAAAATAAACATCTCTGGACAGATATTTAGGAACACCCCAAGAGCTAATTTTAGACTTTATGCTCTTTTTGTAAAATCCAACTCACAAGTGACTTTTTTCAAGTTGATCATAAATTTCCATAATGACATCTTAGGGTGCTGACATGTCCTCAGTATCTGGTATTAGAGACTTGGAATGGTGTCATGGTCTGGGATTAATTAGTGAAGAGCAGAAGATCCAGAAGGACAGCAGTGATACTGTCCAGATATTACAATATCCTTTACTACTTTTTAGTTTTCCCTTACTCTAATACCGCTATATCAAATCCAGTGAAAGGAATTGTCTTCAGAAACCCTTGTGTAATTTAATCTGTGAATCCAGTTGATCTGTTAAGGCCTCAGAGGTTTTTGTCAGAGGACATTATTGAACAAACAGCATCACAGCAACCAAGGAACATATCACATATATGTTCCTTGGTTGTACATATCAGGTGTGATCGTAAAGTTTTAAAAGAAGCTTAAAGCAAAACTACATTAGAAAACATATTGACTTCAAAATCTCATGGAGCATTAGAAAGACTCCTAATAGAACGTGGATGGCAATAGCTTCAAAGATATGCTACAAAGTTAAACCGTAACTGAAAACTAACACAGCATATTACAATAAAATCAACAACTCCACAATGAAATATGGAAAAGAGAAGCTGCTTTGGAAAGCTTTACATAAAAGCATATTCATATGTTAGAATGAATGGCTCACTCAAAGTCCATATCTAAATCCAGTTGACAAACTCTGGCAGGACATTATGAAGCTGGTAGGGACATATCCCAAAAATCCTGCAACACGAGATGCTTCTACAAGATATTGTTTCAGGGGGATGAAGGTAAATGAAGGCCACACTTCTAAATGTCTTATTTGCAAAACATTTCTAAAGTCACATATCATTTTAATTTCACTTCACAAGTATGAATTCATAAGTATGAACTGCTTTATAATGACCTCAACCATAAAATCTGTCAAGAATAAATCAAACATCTGCGTGGAAATTTGAGACTAAAGGTTTAAGGTCTGTGAATTATTTTATGGGACAGGGCACTGTCTGGTAAGAAACTGACTGGTGAAAATGAGAGGATGAATGACATGTTTGGGAACACATCTGTACATGAATGAACTATCAAACAGTTGGGAATTATTGCAACTCCCACGACAATGTCAATGGAAGTGCGTTTGATGCCATAATCCAAACCCATAATTTAAAGTCACACTGCACATTAGTGAGCTATTCGGTTTTCTTACAGTGAGAATAACAGACATCTTTGTGGCAAGACTGTAACTATCGTGGTCACCAGATATTGTGGGATGTTCAAATTAGAGTAATTTTTTGGATGATGAGTAGATAATTTTCTAAAGGGGCTGGAGAAGTTACTCTATGTCCTTGTCAGTCAACACAAAAGGGATGTCAGTGGTGGTAAAATGTTTCCAGCGAAAACCAACCATTCCCAAAACTGCCAATCCCAATATATCAAATACCCTACAAAGGCCAAGTTTTATGGAAAAATACAACTTTTCTGAGGACTTCAATAATTTTACTTGTTGATAATACACAGTCTGCCCTCTATTACAATTTGTAATAGACCATCCATTATTTAAAAACTACTTCTAACCCTCTTTATTCTACAAGTATATTTAAAAAAATGTTATTTCTTTGTAAAATAATAAATTATGTATTAATGTAAAATGTATTTGTTCCAGGTGTTTTTCTATTTGGGTGTCAGACTATTCATAGAAAAAAAAGTAACAATAAAAACTAATTGATTATTGGTTAGATTAGACTAATCCATTATTTTTTTAGATCACACATCAATATATCAATCTGTTGATCATATTTGAATACAGCCTGTGTTTAATCTTCTCTAAAACCACACTTGTATTAATTTCCCTTATTTAGTTAGACAGTTAATAATATAAATAATTATCAATTCATACAAGCTATTACCTTGGATTGCTGCTTTTTTAATACCAAGATCCCATAATGATGAAGTTGACCACAAAACTCAAGTGACTGTTGAAAACTTCTGTGGGGTTTCACGTAAGATCTGTGGACCGCTTTGCATGTTATTTACTCAACATTTTGTGGTCAAACTCAGTCACAAAGCACTCTCCTCATCTGTCTCAACTCTCCTCATTAAACTGTCCAATGACATCACAGAAAATAAAAGTACTTTGAAAGTAACTGCTGACAAATGTACCACAAACTGCTACAATTTCAGTGTACGGCATAAGTATTTTATTACTGATGAAAACTTAAATTAATAGCTTGCATTCATATTCATTTGATTATAAGTGCAATTAAAAAATGACTACCTTACTACTGTTTCAAACTAGCTTCTGGTGAAGCTTTTTAAAAATCCTGGTCAAGATCATTCTCTAAATTGCAATTATAACATCCCTTCCGTTTCTCGCACTGAAAGTCTAAAAAACTATCCAGTTGTGCTCTCAGTGTCTAAATCTCAATATGATCATCTTGGTTCTCTATAAGTAACTTTTAATAAACCAAAATGTTTTGTGTTTTCAAAGAAAGAAAAGCTAATGCAGAATATCCGACAAAATTTGAAAAGCAGAAAATCCTAATAAAATAAATCGATGCTTGTGGCTGTGAGGTGTGAATACTTTCACAAGGCACTGCACCTCTGTACCTTTAGGTTCTACAATGTTACCAATATTAAATATCCACATGTCTTTTGGATACAAAGTATATCAGAAAATACACGTTTGTATCCAAAGTATCAGAAAATAGATTTGAAGCAGAGGATAGGACAGATCTACAAAAGGTAGAATAAGGCCAGCAGACACGGCTGACAAGCCAATGCCAGTTCTTCTGTTAACACAACACTCTCTGCAAGCAATTAAATGTTTACACATAATCAGTATAATTAACAGTTCCAGTGTGCAAAAGCTACAATTTAGATAATCTTATGCAATAAGCACTTTTGTCTAAAAAAAAAAAAAAAAAAAAGTGGCCGTCTATAAAAACTCCTGCCTGCATTCAGTATTCAAACCATATCTTGACCCATTTGGTAACAATATTAATAAAATTAAAGCTAAGCAGCAAACAATATGGACCTTCTAAGGTCTGATTAAAATGTTAGCATATTCATAAACTCAATAAAAGGTCTAGTGATAACTATATAGACTATAAAGACTGTTGGGATACTGCTGCATGAGGCCCATCTGAAATGAGATAATATATTTCTAACAAGTTAACCCATGTGTCTAGAAATGGGGTCCAACCGACCCCACACACATAAAACTTGTATCATTTGCCTCAGTCCTCTACATTTGCCTCAGTCCTCGCACGCACAAGGGTTAATAAATACAGAAGATTTTCTTCAGAGCAGTTAAAGCCAATGTTCAATAATGATGGGTTCACAGTTATGCTGATTTAAATTATTAGACTGTCTTCTGCTCAAATCCCTGCAGAATAATTAATTCTTTAGACAAAATGGAGCAAACAAAATTCAGGAACGATATGTTCCTGAATTTATGTAACCTTTTGACCTGCTAAAAGGTTTGGAGATATCCAAAAGACGGAATAAGACATTATAAGTCACCCCCATTGCATAAACCAAATATTTTTGGGATACAGTCAACAGAAGTGCACCACAAAAAATTTAATTGAGCCATCTGTCCGTTGTGAATACTACATCTCTTCTTTTCTGCAAGAAAACTGAGTTGTTCCACTTTATAGCCCAGAGAGAGAGCTCTTGTTCAATCTTTTATCCTCAGTTTCCACCACAGCTGCAAAATATGGCTGATGAATAGTTTGGCTCTTCTGCTGAAAACTCTAAAAAGTCCATAAGTAGAATATAAATCCTGTGTTATACTGCACAAATCATAGGAATCCGGCTAAGAGTGAATATAAGTAAACCTCCCAGGCTTTGTGTGATCTCTAGAACTACACTAAATTCTGTCAATGGATAAAAGGGTAGAATGTGTCAAATGTACAGTTTGGTTTGTTGCAATGAGATGAAACAAGAGGAAACATATAAAGGGGTTAATTGTTGCTTTAAGTTATCAGGTAATACCAGTAGTTATCACTACTACTATATGTTTTCATATATGTCATAAGACTTTGTTTCGATCCGTTCAAGTTTACTAATCTGCATAATGTCATAGTGTCGGTATGCTCTCAAAGACTGGCATTGGAGGCCCATGTGTTATATCGTGTAAAGTAGATCTAACTGCGCTAGAATGCTGTAAGCATTAGCCCCATTTGGTTTGACCCATAAGTCATAACACTGCCAAGACGAGATTGTTTATAGCATCACAAATAAATCAGACCCTAAACAGTTTGTTGTGCGTTCGTTGACTTTTCATGCCAGATACCACAACAACTAAGGTTAGTCACGAGAATGCAATGTCACCCCAATGTTTATTGGTTGCCTTTGTTGTTCCATCATCATGTATTAGCATATGCCTCATCCCACCAGCAGAGCCAGCTAAGCATTACCAGGTGCTCCGACTCCCTTCCAGTGGGTAGTGGATAGTTATACACTTTTACAGGCAACATTCCTGCAATTAACCCTATAAAGACCATTTGTCAGTGTGGGAAGTGTGAGCCCGCAGCACAAGCACTGGTGGCTGCTGCAAACACCTTTGGCACAGTAAAGTTAAAGGTGTGAAACACTTAGAGGCATGGACACCAGGGGGATGAGCTGGTAAATACAAGCGGCTGGAAGCGATGGCACGCCTATAAGCATGGTCAGCCTATACTGTTACGTACTGCAGACAGACCACCATGACTGACAGACTCACAGTTTAGGCTGCTGCATTTAAATATACAAACTCCCCAATGAAAGAAAATAAAGACAACATACTTTGTCAGTAGCGTGGGAGCATTACCACCTGAAGTATATGCTTTCTGACACGCATAGGGGCACTGAAGTGGTCCACATTTGCATCCCATGAAAACCAGGGAGTGACAGTTTGAGAGGGGAAAATATACAAAGTGAGGAAATCACATTACACACATGTGGTCCAAGAAACACTATGCTAAAATATCTGCATGATAATATTTAGTTTATTTTAGTGAGCTGAGGTTTGGCGGGTTAAATAATCAAGCAGATATCTCAAGTTTTCCTACATATGTGCTGGGATTTATTGAGAAACCACAACGAGAGGGGTAGAGTGGAGAATAAACCCTTAAAGTCTTCAGAAATCTTATATTCAAGCCTAAGAACTATAATTATGATCAATAGTGTTTATCATTAACAGAAGCCATGACATGAAAACATATCTGAGCAAATACTTCAAGATATTTTTGGATTTGTGGAGCACTTGGCAAGAATGTAGTAATATTAAAAGTACATTATGTGTGTGCAAAGAAGTTATTTAAACAAATATTTTTTGCAATAATAATAAACCAAAGTTCTGCAAGGAAGACTTTCCTGATAAAAGTGAGGAAAACAGCAAATTACCCTATTACTGGAATTAGTCTGTAATTCCTATACTTCGTAAATTGTCTATAATTTTCCTAAATTCTTGTGTCAGTAGTGAAAGAAGGAAGAAATGGAATAAATTAGATATTTCCAGTTTGATAGAGAGTGCTGCCACAGTTCAAAAAGTGACATAGTTAAAAATATTTCAATCCCTTGTTCTTGTGGAACAATTAAGCTTGATGAGTGTATGAGTTATTGTACGTAACAGAACTGAAGCTTAGAAGTGTAACGGGACATTCAACTTGACATGTCCATCTCCATGAGAATAAAAGCAGACAAGGGTTTAGTTATTTTTTGTGGAAAACTAAGACTCATTTTCTGTTTGTTGTCCAAATAGAGTAAAGCTTTCATGTGTTGCAAACTTTGTTGGATTGTTCGACACTCTTTTAAGTGTCGAACAATCCAATCCATGTTTGACTTGTCTATACAGTTTTTTCCTTTATGTTGCTTTATTAATCCTAAAGTTTTTCTAAAGCCAAAACAAATAAATTAATCAAATTTAATCAAATAAATTTGATTACTTGAACATAGATTGAACCAAACACCTTTAAATCTACTCAGAGATCAGCAAGCTTAACAATCCAGAAAGCCAATTTTACTCTAGAAAAATTGTCAATAGCTGTTAACTTTATATGGCTCTGAAAAATGATAGCTTATCGATCAACTATGTGTTTCATCATAAAACAATCGTCAGAAAAAGAGTCAGAAACTAAAGATTATTGCAGCTGGGTCACAATGCCAAAGGATACTGATCTCATTGTCACGTTGTTTAAGCATTTCATTCAGTTTGGTCAGTTCTGCTGTTGAACTGGAATTGCTGATTTGGGAGTTCTCTCGACTTCCTGTTGGTAGCGGTTGTTGATCACTGCGTCCAGTTTTGGCACCTTTTTTGTCCAAAATCACTGACTGTAAAAAAAGAAAACAGAGAGATATTGTTAGTAATGTGACAGTGGGTTCTCAAAATTTTTCAAACACTTAAATATACTGTCTTTTGAAATTATAGTGTATTGAAAAAGTATTGCCATATTTTTAAATCTGTAACATTTGGATGTAGAAATACCCCAAACTCCAGAAGGAGACTATAGTGAAGTATACATTTCATGTATGTCATATGCAGAAGCGGGTTGCTTTCATGTCACAGGGCAGCTTTGCTCAACAAAGAAGAGCTTAACTGTATTACTGACTTTATTAAATCATAGCTGCATCTGGAAACAAAAAAGACAGGTCACAAATATAAGAACATGTGTTTGTTAGATCTTAAGCCTTTTTGGTTATTTATCATGGTGTCTGAGTGTGAATGTGTGCTGGTGTAAAATAGGTGCGTGTGCTAATTTGTGAAAAGTGTGAGGTTAAAATGCCGAGAAGGGTAGAAAGCGTTAGCGCTCAGCAAGCGTTAGCAAATGAATTTCAAACATACGCATATGCTTTGATATAAATAATTTCATTGTAGCTCTGGTAGGATATTTAGGGACTTTTCCCCACTATAGCCCACTGTAAAGTGAGCTTCCACCAAACCTCCAGAATTTATGAAATTTTCTTTTGAACCCTCGCTGTACTTGCTGACTTTGTCGAGTATCCTCAAAAGGATGATGCTGCCACCACCAAGTGCTAGTTTCCTTTCCTATTTGCCTCATATGAGTTAGTAGAGTACTTTCTTCCAGATGTTTGCTGGGAGCACTCCATGCATGATGGAACTCACTAGGTTTTTCAACCATTTCAACAAGATTTGTGGAGTGCAAGAGGAAGTTCAGAATTTTAATAGGAAAAAGAAGCCTTTTCTCTTCCACTTTATGTTGTACTTTATGCTCACGGCTTTAAAGTGACAAAATGTGAAATATTTCTTGGGGAGTGAATACTTTTACAAGGCTCGTTAAACCTCATGAAGCTCAGCTGGATTAGCAAATTTATGAAACTCTAGCTCACTGTGATTGTCAACACCAACAATCATGAAAAAGAAAAAAAAAAAAAAAAAACTGCACATCAGCGTTCACCCTGAAACAAGGACAAGCAGATAATTGGAATCCTACGTCAGGACCAAAGAAGAAGGAAATGGGATTTAAACCAGACACATTTCAACAGGATTGCTGGAACCGAAGTGAGGTGTTACTTGCAGGAATGTAAACTGAACAGGAGATAGAGTTTGTGCATCATAACAAGCTGTAGGGAATATAAACAGATATCTATGTGGGATCTGGCACTGCATCTGGTGGATGCTTCAGCTCCAACCAAACCAGAGTGAGCATTGCAGAGGTTTTTTTTTTTATTTTATTTTTTTTTTCTCTTGGCCACCGGGAGCAGGAGTAGAAGCAGCAGCAGCAGCCAGAACACACTTTCTGTTTGTAAAACGGTGTCCAAATAAATAAAAAAAAAAAACTGACATTTGCACTCAATCATTTTGTCCAGACACCATAACAAAGAAAATAGCTTCACGAAACATAAATTTTACTGTTTGGTGTAAAATCCATCATGGATAATGTATATCGCTTTGTACACCAGAATTCATGACATGTACGTTCTTCTAAATAACCTATTTACTTGTTTTTGAACTTGAGTTTGAGTTCTGATTTATTTCTTAGATGACTTCAAATAACAATTCACCAACAAAACTATGCAAAACACTGTAATGTAAAAGAAAATGAAACTTTAGTTATTTTTAACACTGTTGCATAGATTCATATTTGGATAATAGTAAGACAAAGTGATCAGATCCATTCTGGGGTTTTTTAAGAGTTCTGCTAAGAGCAATAACTTTCTAATAGAAATGTGAAAAGTTAAACAAATGAACTTGCTGAAATTGTCATAGGATGCGAATCATGTGTGACAGTGACAAGACAGAAAAATAAAAAAAAAAAAAAAAAGGAGGACATATTTCACGGATAAAAAGACCAGAAGCAAAAGTAAGCTATACAAAACACATTTCTGCAGTCACTTCACAAACAGAGGCAGCACTGACTATTTACCTTCATCAGAAAGAAACAGTGCTGTATCTTTCTCATGTCAGGTCCCAGAGAGAGAGTCACATCTGGATCTGGATCATTCAGAAAGGCTTTGACTAACTCGCCCAACCTAAAAAGCCAAGACACAAAAACAAACACAGACTTGCTTTTAGCAATGCCAAAATCCATGTTATAATTTTCCATCACATTCCCTTAACAGGCACTCAAATGGTTAACGGCTTCATCTAAGCAGTTTAAAATGTGGGTCTCGTGAAAGAAAACTATTTACATCAATGTGAGTTTCAGCTCCACTGGAGCAACCTGTTGATAAACTACCGCTAAATGATAGTCCAAACACTGCATCCCAACATGCGGATGCAGCCACTGGAAAAGACCAGAAGACATCCATCCAGACGGATCAAATGCAGGCATGACAATGTGCGGTTCTTGATTTTCTGTTACATGTCCAGCTTAGAAACAGGCCAGGTTTATATGATGGAGGGCTTAACACAAACATGCTGGTCCCTTCAAGAGTTTATGATTTTGGTTTTCTGAAAATCCCTTGATGCCATGCACAATTATTTCAAAGAACAACAAATAATAATAATAATAATACAAAAATATTCCTAATCATAATTAATATAATGTAAAATATAAAGTTTTACATTACAAACAATTTAAATGTTTAAATTATTTAAGTGATTAACAATGTGGGCATTTGGTTGCACTGGGTTATGGGCTTACAAATGCAAGCCCATAAGATTTATTTGCAAAATTTTCAAGAATCATGTATCCTTTTTCTATCACTTCACAGATATGCACTAGGTCTATCAAAAATGTAAATTAACTTCAATCTAATCTCTATTTTTGTAGAAGAGGCTGGCCACAATGACAAGAACGACAGTCAAAAAGCAATTTTTTATTCATTTATATAAATTTTTTTATTCATTTTTTTTTATTATTATTTTCTATTTTTTATTCCTAACATTGTGGCACTTTTGGCTCTCATCATTCATCATTGATGCTAAATGTGGCAACAAGAGTCATTACAGGTTGCCACTGCGAAGTGAACCCCTATTGGGTATAAATAGGAGATACGTCACCTAATTAAAGATGAAATCAAATAAAGCTACAGGAAACACATCCATATTGAAGGGGGAATTTTCCAAGTCTTTAATGAAACCTGTGGTCTAGCCCAAGACGGTTGATGAAATCTAAATTAAGTCCTGGTGAATATCCATCAGTAAAAGCAATAGCCACCTATTAGGAACATCATAAATTCTTATAAATCATATGTTTGGTTGTTCAGGTATTTGCAATTCCCAAATTTTGAAATAGAAAATTCCAGACATTTAGGACTAAGATGTCCTGATTGTTTAGGGGAACACCTGAGGCATGTTGATATATAATAAAAATAAACTAAAAATGCAGAGTTAATGTTTGGACATTCAGTTTTTATGATATTAAACAGAACAGGTAATTTCATGTGTTTTTGTTTCACAGACAAGATATATCTGTTTTTTTGTTTGCTTTATTTTGATGCTTGTTTTGTTCTACTTTTGGTGCTTTTTGGAAAAGAAAAACGACATTTTTGAAAAATCAGAGAAGGCATACTTTTGTATCTCCTCTGCAGTTAGCTGCTCCTGTCTCTGCTCTCCTGTCACAATTGCCAGCTCTTCATTCAGGAACTGGATCTCTCTTCTCAAACGTGCAATGAGCTGAAAGATGCAAAAGGTAAGGTGGGAGGTCACAAATGACACACAATAAGAGGGGAAAATCCAAGTCCACAAATGAAGAGTTTCTGTCCTGTTTACTTGGCCTTTTATTATAATCCAAAGAATACAATGTAGAGTTCATGGTCCTTTATGAAGTGTCAACAGAAGTCACAGCATTAGTGGGAGGCTTCATGTCAGATGTCCTTGGGGCAAAAAGCAACGCAACACAGCCAGAGAAATGCTAGACTTTTGTAGCTGTGTTTGAATATTTTGGTCACATTGCAAATACAATTCTAACTCCGTTTTTAGTTTTATGTTTATGTGACAGAAAAAGTAATGCATAAATAAAAAGTGGAAGGAAAAGTGTTATTTCTCATGAAAAAAATGTACGCAGTTGGTACACAGTTGGTATCTTTAGCAGAAGATACCAACTGTGTACCAGTAACTCAGCAGTGTTCCTCACACAAAGGTCCTAATTAGGCTAGTTTCAGTAATAGCTAATACAAGGTCAAAGGTCAGACTAAGCAATTTAACAGAAACTAAACAGTGGTAATTTTAACTGATCTAAAACTAGCAAAATGCCCAGATGCTGTTGAGTCAAGATGCTACAGAACGAAAACACAGCTATGGTGCGGTTTTTGAGTGGGTGCCACTCCGCTCAACGATGATTGTGCCCCTAATCCACCCCATATCGTATGTTTCAACACTGAATATCATGGCTTGACCGTTCCTTCACCAGAGCCGCTCCCTGGTCTCTTTTTGTTAGAACCACTGCTCTGATGGTAATTCTCCCAGCTGCATCCTTAAAACTCTGACCACCGGCTGTTGGTCAGCGGGATGGTGCAGTCTATTTCAGAGCAAAAAAATCCCACACGGGCACCACAGTACCATGGCAGACTTACATATTCTAAGGCTAAAAAATGACCCAGGTCATAAAAATGATGAGGTAGTTTTGGGTTTTCTTGTACAAACTCATGTTAGGGCACCTATGCAGCACACTGTAATGATATCAGAAGATGTACAGAGTAGTAGGCTCTAGAACTTTTTCACATTTTGTCTTGTCAAAGAAAACTGTCAATGTGTGGCAAGCATTGTCTTCAAACCTCTTTAGTCTAGGTCTGGAACATGTAAAATAATAATAAAAAAATACAGTTCAAGGTGTGCAAGAAGTCTTGGGTTCAAGATGGACTAAACCTTTTTAGGCCAGTGCAAGCAATTACTTTCATGTGTCACCTAATTACCTAATTAGTAAATAAAGTCGCCTTAGCCCAGGCATTGACCAGCTCTCTCAGGCCCGTTCAGTTACTGGTATGCAAATTGAAGTAGTATGGCACAATTCACCAAGACAAAATTAATCCAACCGAACTGTCAAAAAAAGTCAAATACATGCCACACGTGTATGCTTTTATATATATATATATATATATATATATATATATATATATATATATATATATAAAAAATAAAAACTTTTGTTTCATAAAATCTAAAAAAGATGTGGAAAAGTGCAAAGAGTGTTATTACAATTGCTAGGTACTGTAAATGTGCAGTTTCGGAACACCTCTGCCATCACCTAAATTCTAACTATCTGGTTACCCAATTAAATGTAAAACATTAACACAGCGCTTACTTTAGATTATACCTCCTCCTCTTGTACACGCAAACCACCCACAGTAAACTGTAAGCATTGCAGTATAACCACAGGTTTCACTTTAAATGCATGTATACAGCATCCCACTTCCAAACATGTTGCTATTACAGGGGCCTCTTTTTATGAGGGGAAAGGAGGCACAATTTCCCACTACCTTCTACACGTGGGCAAGTTTTATCCTCCCCAAAAATAAGTAAACAAGGGCTGCACTCATTGCATCTAACAGCAGAAACACTTGACTGAACTTTCTCCAAAACACATGAGAAGATGTTGCACCCACTTGCTCAAACTCTCGTGTTGGTCAGTGAGAGGAAGTTTCACAGATATCTACTAATTGGAGTCGTCTTTGTCTAAGGTACACAAAAGAATTGCAACAGCAAGTTGTGGAGGCATCTTAGAAGAGCTAATGACTGCAGAAAATCTCTACTGGCAAACATAAACCAGCATTTGGTCTACAACTGACCTTTGTGCCTTTAGAGAAAATAACACCCTAATATGGTCAGGTCACTGCAGCAGACTCCATTAGGAGCACAGGTCACTTTCAACACCTCATTTTTTCCCATTTCCATGAAAGACTCGCTAAATATTTTGTCTGGTCTGGTTGGTTTCCTACTGTTCAGAAATCCATTTAGTATCCTGGCTGCACCACAAGACTACTTAGGCAATGTGGCAAATATAATAGTGATGTGAAAACTGCAGCTTTCAAATCAGTTACCACAATGAGCAAGTCCAGCAGGGAGCTGTCAATCTAACGGGGTAAAGTGACATCCCGAACCTCAATAAATGACATTTTTATAATTTATAAATTACACTCCAGGCTTTGCTTTATTCCAACTCATGCTTATTCGTGTAGAGATGGTAAGCAGGCAGCAGCAGCAGCAGGGGAGAAAATGCAAAAGACAAGATAAAACTTATAAACAGAGGAAGGAGGTTGAGTTTGCTTGAAGCTGTAACTCTGTCAGACCCAAATGGGAGCAGCCAGACGCTGTCACAATTACTGGGGCCAGCCGCAGACTCTTATAAAAATACCTCTCATGGGTTTGCAAGTGGACAGCCAAATGTTAGCAGCAGGATTACAGTAGCAGTTGGTTCTGAGGAAGATCTGGGTGGAAGCAGAGGACGTGGACACAGCTGTGAAGACTCACAACTCATCCCCTCAGCGGGACATTTCAACACCATGTTGATTTTCAGCTACACACCAGTAACGTAACATTTATGATACATGTTCACAAGGTAAAAACTGTAAATTGTATTCAGCGTGTCAAAAACGGTGTTGTATAAAACAGGATCTTTTTTTCACATTTGCAATTCTGTATTAAAGGTCTACAACTTCTCAGTCAGAGTCGTCATTTTTGTCAACAGTCCAGCTACAGTTACTCAATTACAACTGCAAATGTATATTTTTGATACAACATAGGAAATTTGTTGCTATTTAAAAATAAAATAAATAAATAAATAAATCTAATTTTAGATGAAGAAAGTTAAGAAAAACCATCAAACCTTTACAACCCAACTGTTTTTATCATCTCAAGAAATATTACTGGGACTATTAGTATTATTCTATTGTTGGAACTTAATGAAAAATATTTAAAAATTATTGCAGCTATTAAAAAAGTTAGTATTCCTATGTCTCACTACATTGCCTGGCTCTTTATTATTACTAGCCAAAGTTACTAAGACCTATTGTGAAAGCTTGAAAAAACAACTTGTCCCTCCATAGCCGCCTGTTGCAGAATCCAGTTCTTTACATCTCCAAACTCAAAGTTCCTAATTTTGTAAGGCATTGCTTAAGTACAAATACAAAATCTGAGTATGAATTTTAGATCATCCCACAATGCGTAGGTGTTACATATGAGATGTTTTACAGGGAGGGAGGGCAGGTGAATCAATAGATCATTTCTATGCGTGTCTTATTTAAAAATGAGCATAATTTGAGTTGAAATGACGATTTTTTATATGTACATATACTGTGTTGTTTATCATGTTGACAGTGGGACAGGAAGAGTTTTCATGCTCTACTTTGTTTTTCTCATATTTATTCAGAACTAGAAAAGACCAAAATCAAGTTAATTATTTTTCAAGCCTTTCAAGAGGGAGTAAAGAAGCCTGGTAAAGTTAAATACAACGTTCTTAAGGATGCAAAGTTATAGGCATATAAAATTAAATAAATCAACAATTTCAAAGAAAAGCTAAAACTGTGACATTGTCATTGAACTTTAAAGGGGCTGGTTAAAAGTCCCTTAAATTCAGTCGATGCTCTTTTCCATGAAACTTGGCAGATAAATATATGCACATTTTCCTACTGAAATGTTTCCTCTAAAAAATGTGATGTATTTGTATAAAATATGCTGAACAACAATTTATTAAAAGTAAACAGGACAGAAAGAAAATGCAAACAGGACATGTGAGCTGTCTAAATAACATAAGATAGATAGATATTCATGTGTGTAAGATGCAAAAATTCCTGCTGTGAGAGGAGCAGAACTAACACAGGAAATATAATTTCATTCCAAAATTAATCAACATTTAGGTTTCGTAACACTGAGAGTCAATGTCAAAGTTCTGACGACCCACTTTAGAATGGTCAAGGTTGTGTAGTTCGTGGGCCAGCTAAAGTGTTGTTTCAAACACAGAGCAACATGACTCTGACAGTCTCACCAGTGCAGGATCCAATTCTTCGTTCAATATGGCCTCGTTCTTGATGAGAGCCACACGCTGAGCAAAGCGGCAAGTAGAGATTGACTCCTGGTAAGAATAATTTTAACAATCAGTAGCTGTTTCTCTGGAGGACAATAAGGGAGAAAATAAAGACACTCATGTAATGATTTGATAATAATCACTGTTTTCAAAATAAGCTCAGTCTTCTATGGCGAACTACCATAGAAGGCTGCTGTAGATATTATTTTGCACTCATCTCTTACGTGTAAGTTTGATTGTTTTGTTTTTTCTTTAAAAAAAAGAGCTTTGTAAAGCATAGGCTATGTAAGGTGTTAAAAACAAAAAGTACTCGCAAGGTGCTGTTGAATACCAAATGTGTTTTTAAATACCTGTGATGAACCTAAAGATTTGGTGTGACTGGAGGCACATGAAAATTCTGGCATTTCAAAATGAACTTGGACATCAGAAAATATATTGGTTTCTTATTTTCCTCCCTATTTCTTTTTACCCCTTAACATGTTTTACATTTTCTAATGGTTTAACAGAATACGGTGTCCAAAACAGGGTTACGGATGCCGATACTTACATCTAGATTCCGTTTGTCGACCGCCATAGTGGCGATCATGGTGGTCATGCAGTTCCCCCCCAGGCTGTCCCTCAGGACTGATGTTAACATGGAGTTTCTATATGGAATATGGGAACGATTCTTCTCTGACAAGGCTATTATCACCTGAGGACAAGAACCAGGAAATGAACCCACTTTTATGATACACAGGAGTGTTTACAGTCAATCAGAAAAAGGTTAGACAATCTGAAAATAGGTACAAAAACATTCAGGAAGCAGAAATGGTTCCTAGTTTCCCTTTCAAATTGCAGAAACACACATCAATTCTTTCAGTTTGCAACACAATCCAACAACATAATTTGGTTAAACAATTATAGATATGTAGATGATTTCCAAAAAGAACACCAGATGGAATAAGTCGTTGTGTGAAGAGGAATAGTGTTATCAGGGCATTTTGACATTATGATGCAATGTTTTAGGTCATATTTTGCCCCTTTTTATTCTGTAAACACAACTTAAGACCTTTTTTTCATAATAAATTGTTGTTCTTTATCACTAACAAACTATTTCCTCAAGAGATGAAAAAAATGGTTAAAAATCAGGAGGATCTTTAAATAAAGATGAGCATACCTGCTCTAGATAGTGGAGCGACAGGTTGATGTACTTGGCCTCAGTGAGTAGCTGCCCATCCAGGCCCGTCTTACTGACTCGATCTGACCCGGCCAGGTCCACCAAGTGCAGTTTGGACCGGCGCAGGGTAGCTGAGCCGGGTTCACGCCTGCACAGATGTATGGTGAAAACACAGTGCGAACGAGTGGAGGCCTGGTTCATGGGGGTCTGGGAAAGACGAGAACAAAAAGATACATTAGAGGGCATTTGGGTTAGTTTTGATAGATCTTGTTTGTCCCTCTTAAAGCATCAAACATGTGGACCGACACAACGTACACAGATAATGGTGGCTTATGGATGGTCTTAGGAGAGAGACAGAATTAGGGTACTATGACTCACTTTCTACATGAAAACATCTTTAACCAAAGGAGGATGGGTGACTCCCGAGACCCTAACTAAGAGGGAAAACAGATGGAATCTAAACTACATTGTATTTTCTTATCCTGAGCCACTTCAACAACTTAAATGGAATAGCACATGCCTCTAGATTTATGTTATTATGATGTTGTGATTAAGAATGACCTCGCAGAAGAAAAGCTTTTTGTTCTTTCTCTGTTAAAAAAAAAAGTCAGATAAATTCACACATGACATCTCAGCTCCCTCAATTTGGAAAAAAAGGTTTCTCTTAGCCTTAAGTAGTTGACGTAAATGTGCCAACACCTGCTTGTTAGGGTCACAGCAGGTCATGACAGACATTTCTCTATCTTAACCTGCAGATGTCCTCCCTTTCCTCAGACTAAATTCCCTTCACTCTGCACTTGTCCAGAGGGTATCCCTAGAAAAATGTGAGACAGCTTTTATAGTTTAGAAAAGGAACCCTTTATGTATTTAAAAGGCATGACTGTAAGGTCATGAACAGGGACAGAGGAGAAATTCTCAGGAAAAAATTTTAGTTTGTGTGCCACTAGAGCTCTGTGGATTACCATGATTGTTTCATTTGAGCCGCAAAGAAAATGTATGTAAAAAGCACTAAAAGGCTTATTGGTTTGGACATCGCCTATTAACTGTTGTAGCTGGTAGTGTGCTTCTGTGCATGCATTCAGTCACAGCAAAGCGAAAATAACGCAGATAAACAAGTGTAAAACGACAGCTGCACTTTAATGTAGATTAGGTTAAAGTTGTATGTCTGAATTGTTCACCATATTTTGAAACTAACACAAACAATTAACAAAAAAATTATATATATAATCCACATTTTATTAAACACAGAAACAAAAAAAAAATATTCTGGTATTTTAAGAAAAGGTTAGAAGAGTGAATCGCATATGACCTTTAATTGTTTAAATGTGTAAGCAAGCTAAATTAAGTAGATAAAATGTTATGTCTTTTTGCATTGAACAGTTAATAGTCACATCTACCAGCTGTTCCCTGCAGACAACTCAGCATTTGCTCCGATCTCTAACTGTCTTGTTCTTTTCCCCAAGATAATGATGGTTAATAACAAGATGCGATCAATGGGATCGCATTGTCCATAATGGATGAGAGTGTGCAAAAAAATCTAATTTTCATATCACTAGTGATGACAGGGTCCTAGTATAAGGAGGCTATGCAAGTGTAGCAGATCATAAAACCTAAGATGATGCTGAAGGTGTCATACATCTATAATTTAACAAGCTATAAACTACAATCATAAATGCACCCTGCATTGCAGTCATGCTGCTCTGTTTGCAGCACCGGCTGTTCTGACCACACACAGTGCTGAAAGGGAACATCACAAAAGGACATTCTGGTGACTAAAAGTGAGATGCATAAAAAGGTTACACAAGTATGCAGTCCAGATTTAGACCAGCTGCAATGCATCCATTCCTACAGGTTCAACCGAAGTTAGCCTTCACTGCAGGGAGAAAAGCAGCTTTGAACACATTTGGACAACAAAGTGAGTCAGAAAGGACCAGATGGGAGAAACAAAAAAATCCCCAAAAACATTGACAGAAGGGTGAGGAATTTAAAATGTGTTTTTTTAAGTCCAAAATAATTCTCAAACCGAGTGAGCTAATGGTCCTCTGAGTTTTGCATGAATGGATGTGTCATCTTTTATCCACATGGATGGGATCATGAGAAGAAAGAAGGCATTGCTGTTAACTTTATTGAAACTCTTTATGGAGAACAAACGTCTTGGGGGATTCTGCCAGAGATAAATAAATAATGTTAAGGGCTCTTTGTTCGTTTCAAACTCTGGGGGACTTCTAGAGATGGAATTCTAGAGAGGACAAGCAAGCAAATGTCTCTGTGTGGGTGGACGATTGTGGGGTCTCCCCAAAGCAAAGCTCATTTCCGTTTCTTTTAAGCTGTTTCCAATGAAATACCCCTTTTAGTTTTACAGAATTGAACCCAGAAGGGTGTCATCTGGGTAGAACAGAACAAATGGATTGCATTAAGTCCAACACATACCCCTCAGTTGACATTTCCCCTTAATAAAGAACTAAGGTCCGATCACATTTCTGAGTCGTGCTTTTGTTTCATGGAAGAATCCCAACCACATCTAAAATTGACGTCAACGTCAACCAGTCTGTGACTGAAACCTTATCATCTGGGCCACTTTTACTGTCATGTATTTACCAGCAAACCAGTGACAAGAGTAAACAAGGTGCAATCGGCTTTTTCCCTCCAAAACCTCATGAATGTAATGTTGAAAAACTAAGGCTGAGCCACCACACATCTTGTCATCAGTGAGGGGAGCTTGGGCGAGTGAAGAAAAGGCACCACATTATAAACATAAATTACAGAGAGAAAGCTGGCTTTTACTGGGCAAAGAAACTGATAAAAAGGCCCACTGTGGACTAAAATTATGTTTTAGAAGGGTACTAAGGTAGCTTTTAGTATGTATATTGCATTTTAGGAACAACAACAATAACTCCTTATGCCACTTACCCTGGAAGTGGCCAGTGGAATTTTTGCTTACGGTTTACAGTCTTGACCAGGATCACTGTGTTGTGTGTGTGTCTGTGAGCGTGCGTGTGTGGGCGTGTGTGTTTCCCTTTTTCTTACTTCAGCAATCATACGATTGGTGTCACCCAGGAAGAGCAGATTCAGAGCCTCCTCTTCGTTACCAGACTGCCGCACAGACAAATTCTTGAGATGGATGTTCTGTTCTGTATCTTCCAAGATCATCACTTTCCTGACAAAAAAAGAGCAATATGTAATTATAGATTACATCATGCAACATTAAAATCTGAAGTCATGAATAAAATGTTGTAATGTGCAAAAGCCGGTGATGATTTCTTAGCAGAAACAGGAAAAATGGTCAAAGTTAGCGAGAAGATGGGTGGAGGTAAATGTCCTAGTCAAAGACCACACCTAAATCCAAACGACAATCTGTTTTTAAAGTTATTTTAGAAAAACAAATGGGCAAAAACTTTATTCTTTCTACTCAAAAGCTTTGCAGCTGAAACTACAAAGAACATTTTGGAAATCACATGTATATTTTATGCTATTTTAAAATTATGCTCTACTTTGTTTTTGACTGCCACATAAAATCCTAATATTACATTGAAGTTTTTGACTGTAACGTGAAAAAAATTACAGTTCAAGAATTATGGAATTTTGAAAGGCATTGTATATGATTACAAACATCGTTATTCTTTATTTTTGGAAGAAAAGTAGGATTCATTCCTAGATTCTTGTAAACATGGCATATTAAATAAAAATGTCAGAGCTTGAAAGACTCCATACTTCAAAATTTAACACAAAACTAAAAGCACAACGTCAAATGTGCCAGTTATGTCATCCATTTACCTCCCATGGCCTTGGCGTCACTCAGCACTGAATCCAAACAGTCTGGTCTGCAGACTTGTCTCACATGTGATTTATCTATCTGGGTGTTCATAACTTGATAACAGACAGGGCCAGATCTTAAAAACAAACAGGTGATTGTTTCTCGCCCACATCAGGCGATTTGAAACACAGATGGGACTAAATTACTCCCGTGATCCTACCACATCATTTCCATCCAGCCACCGGAGATGTGAGAGTGCAACTCCTTGACTGACTTGTCAAACAGGAGGAATGATTGGAGAACACATGCAGATAATTATGTTAACATGTGTAGGTAATTCAAGTGGTCTGATAAAACAATATTAATCTTATTGTCATTCAGAGCTGCGTCCTGGCAGATTAATTTTCCGCAACGACCAAGCCAACCTTAGATATAATTTGATTATTGGGCTTTTGTGAAAAAATGATATAAACATGGAATGAATGAGGGTAATTTGTAGACTTTTAAGAATCCAGATGATGGGAAGATGAGTGCGTAATGAAAACAGATGGAAAGTCAAATGTAAAGCAATATCAAGTAGTGCAAAAATTTCAGAAAGAAAGGAGACCATTCATTATTGGGAGTGAAGGAAAGATGGAGACAGACATAAAATGGGGCAATTGTCACTGCCACTGCCTCTTCATGATTCAGCAAGTATGGCCACAGCATGGCTCACAACGGGCACTGGCTATTTCCAGAAGACTGTGATTTGTGGGTACCTAAAACCTTGACTTCTAGTCCAGAAAGTGACTTAAAATGAAGTGGTACATGAAAAATACATACTACCACACTGAAACTCATGTATCAGTTAATGTAAAATCTAAAAGCTTGACTCATATGGCTTATTTTTTCCACTAAGAATGTATATTTACAAAGGCAAAGAAAAAAAATGTTTGAGAGAAAAACTGACGGTAGGTCCTCCAGTCGCGATGCCTCATATCGGGAATCCAGAAGGTCATATCCCACCTCGTTGTAAATTTCCAGGTAGGAGATGTGCATGGTGTACATCATACTGCCCTCCTGTGGAGCAAAATTATATCAATTGAGACAGGATAGGAGTACAAGCCATCAGATTTTATTACTCTTTATTAGTGGATCGTAATCTATGTAACATTTAGCAAGAAAAAAAAAACTATTCATACATACAACAATCAAAACTTTCATCAAACTTACATTCTGTTAGAACTCATAGGGTACTTTCCTTAACTTCCAAAAAAGTAACATGTGTTCAAAGTAACCTGGGTAACACTTTATTTGAAGAGGTGTGCAAAAGACTAACATGACACTGTCATAAACATGACATAACACCTGTCATGAACAT